CCTCTGTCTCCCAAGGGCTGGGATTAAAGGCAAGCACCACCACTGTCCAGTATAAATATTTTCTTCATGAGAAGGCTTACCATAGGTTTTTTAAATAGCAAGCTCTGTGGTTGAAACATCTGTTCTTGGGACATATGATTCATCTACATCACAAATGAACTCCCTTTAGGTAATGCCTGGACTATGAAACATGCCTAGATATCTTCACGTTGTTTCTTTTGGGTCCATTTAAAAACAAATATGGTGTCATAATTTTCAAATGAATGTTTTAAAAATGACTTTTATATGTATGAGTGTTTTGCTTGCATGTATGTGCATCACGTGGGTATAAGAGCACACAGAGCTCAGGAGAAAGCATCAAATGTGGACCTGGAGTTACAGATGGCTGTGAGTCAGGTGGATATTGGGAACCAACAGAACTTACAGAGACTTACAGAACTTACAGAACTTACAGAGTCAGGTTCTCTGTAAGAGCAGCAGGCACTTCAACTGCTGAGTCATCTCTAGCCCTCAAATGAAACCCTTGGGCCCATATCAAACACTGCAGTGACATTTCACAGGATGTGAAAAGATGTGTTCTGACAGAAGACTAAAGAAAATGAGGCATTTCCTAACTACGACTGCATGCTTCAACAGTTGGCAAACACTTCCAAAAGGTAGTATCTTCTGTCTTGTGCTATGTACTCCAATTCTATTACGCGCTTGCTCTGTTTTATCTTCTTATATAAAATATAAAAAGCACTCAGCCAGTTTTTAAAAATTGGGTGATTTAACGCTCAACATTAATATACTAAAGTATCTTTAAAAGCCCCTTACTAGTGATGCTGGGGTGAAACTGGGGACCTGTTCATGTTGAAGATGCTCTTTATCACACAGCAATGTTATTAACCCCAGAAGGTTTTAATGCTAATAATCTCTGATTCTAATATGTATACATTCTTAAGAAAATATCTAATGGTTGACGATTAGCTAATATCTATCATGCTTGGACATCACTTTTAAAGACCAGGTTAAAGACATTTATGATTTTAAAAGTAAACATGGCTTATGCTAGGTTGTGGGAGCTTTTATTGTATAATACTAGCTTATTTAATGATATATAATCATTTCATATACTTGTACTTTAGCTCTAGCAAAATAAAATTTTCAGTTATTACTCAATCAGCTACTTCCTGGGCAGCTCCTTCATGCCAAGTGCTATGTCAAAGGCTAAGTCAGACTGTCTCGGGGAGCTTACTGTTTTGAAAACCACAAAATTAGAAAGATGTGCGCAATAAAAACTTACCTAACCAAACTACAAAGTCAAAAATAATGTGCTTTAGAGGTTTGGTGACAATGGAGCTCAGGTAGGAAGTGCCTAAGAATCATCCAGCACAAACTTAGTAGTTCTTGCTGTGTGGCAGGCAATGTGCTGGAGGCTCAAGTTCAAAAGATAAAAAGAGGTAACCTGTGAGAAAAGTGCCCTGATCTGAATGTTTCCATGCTCCCAAATTCCTGCAGAAACGTATTCCCCAGAAAACAGTATTAAGAGGCAATGCCTTTAGGATAAAGTTCATGAGTGGAACCCTTTACCCCTCTGCCACGTGCCATATGAAGGACACAGTGAGATGTCACCACCTCTGTGGAATGGATGCTTACTAGATGCCAAATTCTCCAGTGCCTTCGTTCTCCCAGACTCCAGAACTGTGAGAATGTGTCTCCGGTGTCTGTGAGCCACCTAGTACTCGTCAGTGTGTCTGTACACACTAAGACACTGAGGAATGAGAAGCACTAATATTGCAGGCAAAAACACAAATCCAGAATGTGAAGCATTTCATTAACTGTTACCTTCACTTTAAAGTTCCTTACCTTATGCTCAGATGAATTATTGAGAAATAACACACATTTCTAGAGGTTAGGAAGACAACTCAGTCATTAAAAACACACTAGTCATTCTTGCAGAGGACCCAGGTTCCATTCCCAGAATCCGCATGGCAACTTACAACCATCTGTAACTCCAGTTTCAGGAAATCCAATGCCCTATTCTGACCTCCTTGGGCACGGGGCACATACAAAGTTCACAAACATAAAAACCATAGACTACATAAATAAACATTTGTAGCACAGTATCTTAAGGTTTCCTTGATCTACAAACAGAATCAATGCCTAAAGTTCATAGAGAATATTTTTCTCCTCAATTACTCATCCTACAAACATTTTTATTTCTTCTTTTCGTTTTGAGACACGATTTCATAGCATAACCCAGACTTGCCTCAGGCTCAGGCTCCCAAGTGCTAGGATTAAAGGCATGTCTCATCATCCTGGCCACCAAAACCTGCTGAGAACCAACTAAATGCAACATGATGTACACTAGTGAACTTGGTGTGGGAGTGGCTAGAAACTCAGGGAACTTGCCTTATTCACCATCGAGGGAGGGGTGAATGAAACCCATGGCTGGTTGGTTCCCCTTGGCTTTGTCTCTGTTCTCTAGAGTTACCAAATCAGAATGTTAACGAGTATTTCTGTTTGAAGCTCCCATCATGTTACAGTGACAATATTCTCACCACCATGGTAGACTTTCCTCCGGTCTGTGTCTAGACTGCAAAGCTCATATATGTCAAGAGGAGATGCCAGAGGCATTAGGTTCTCACAGCCCACGGGAGTCCTTTCCCTCATTGATAATTGATTTTCAGTCTTTGGGTTCCTGGCTTCTGCTTTGGAGCTTGATGTTGGTATCTTTGTCATTTAGTGTGGTTGAAATATTCTTGAAGCAGCCCTTCAGCTTGGACATACTTAAAGTATGATCCCAATTTTCTTTTTTTAAATTTCCAGTCTAGGGCTTTTTCACTAGCCTAAGAAATAAACTCCAGTGAAACACAGTTGGCAAAGTGTAGACTCCCCAGAGCTTCCTTCTGTAGAGGCTCTGCCTGGGGAGGAGTAGGCAGGCATCGCAACAGGAGCCTATTTCCCCTGGGGTCAGAAAAGTTTGATATGAAACTCATTATAGTTTCTTTTCTCATAATCTTTTTTTTTTCTTTTTTGTCTTCCGCCCTGTGGTTTCTGTTTTAGATGCACCCAGAGTAGTTCTAGTGGATTTATTTTAAGCCAAGAAGTGCTTTGGGTAGTGGGAGTAGTTTTAAAAAAAAAAAAAGACAGATCTTACCTGTCACAATATGTCTGCAGATGAAAAATCTGAAGCTTCAGCTAGGGTGAAGGGTCTGGAGAGCCACAAGGAAAAGGAGTATTGCAAGGGCTTGGGACCACATTTTCAGACTATTAAACTTGTTGCTTCATACACTGGCTTCTTGCTCCTTCTCTCCCGTGATGTCAATCAACAGGTTACAAGATGGAAGAAACTGGAGAGGCATTTGACATACTTTAGGTGTGAGACAATTATAATTTTATCTTGGCGATAAGAAGCTATAAGGGAGAGGAAGTAGCTGTCCTCAGTGAGAGTGAGAATGGGGTTAGAATCCATGGCTGACCCACTCCAAAACCGGCCCCTTCTCTCCTTCTTTGCATTCTTTGACCAACACCTTTCTAACACCACTCAGTGCTTCACAAATACATACACCTCATGTATTATCTCTATTTTCTCATTCCTCAACTGTTTCCCGAGGAAGGAACTGAGGCCAAGAGACCTGCTCGCCCAATGACTGTGCAGCAATGAAAACTGGGCTTGGTTTCAAGTACAGGTTCCCTGAAAGGCACCTGCTTTAGCCACTTAAGATGACCGCCCAGTGAAGGAAATGGAGACAACGATGCCACCCGAACTGGTTTCATTATTACATGACAACATAAACGTTAATTTGAATATAGCACATCACTGCAATATTACAAAGCTAAGGCACTTAATTCCAATCCTGTACATTCAGACCAGCTTTAAGACTGCTCATTTCAGGGTAGGTCATAAGATCTCTTTTAGATCAGCTTCCTAGACACAAAAAGGAAAGCACTGGATTGGATAGTGTTGTACACCAACTTTAAAATTTTCCCCCAGCTCTGAAATTGTTCCTATCCCTAAAGTATTACATAAACAACTTGAAAATTTTGCAAGATGTCTCTCAGCTTTATCTCATAATTTAGCAGCTCACTCCCAGCTGTTCATATTTTCATAGACAATTCAACGGTTTCCAATAAAGGGTTATATTATAGAACATAAAAAAATAAGCGCTCAAAACACGTATGAAGTACAACTTTTAAATGTGCAAAACTCGAGGTCTCATCTCTTTCCATGAATGATTAAAGAAAAGCAGAACAGACTTCTCACAATTATTAAAACATAGTTGAAGCCAACAACTTTTTGTCTTAAGTAAAAACTATTACTTCATTGTAATTATTAGTAAGCGCAGAGGCAATTTGCTTGATTCTTCGCTACTGTCAGTCTGTGATCTCCAATTACCCTTTCTGTGCCTCATTTTCCCCAACCGAGAAACAAGCATCCTAGTAATACACCAGGCTGTTCTGCGGAATAACTGTGTCGCTACCACTTTTTCTGCTAGTGGTAGTCACTTTTCACATGTGAGCTGGTTGCTTTAAAGTATCGTTCCAGGGAACAAAACTTAGATGCTTAGGTACGGGGATTACAGAGAATTAATTCTATGGCCTGGCCATATCGGGCTTACTTTATGTAGAAGGGAAATTAGGCCATCAACGATAGAGACATCGTAAAAAGCGAAAAGAAGGACGTGCCAATCGGGGTCAGGGTTATCCGCCCTCTCGCTCGATTCTGTCTCTCCACGCAGTCGGGAGAATCCCTGCGGCCTCTGCCATGGGACGTCACAGGAGGCGCGACCAATGGCGGCCCGCTCGGGTGGCTTCGCCTTCCGTGTTTCCGACGAGACCCCGCCCGGCCCGGCCGTCCCAGAGCTCGGTATCCTAGCCCATCCTCCCGGCTGAGCTGCCTCAACCAGGGCAGCCGGCCCCACACTCCACCCTCCGCAGAAGGCATCAGGCAGAGTTCGGGCGCGCCGAGTGACACCGGAGTCCCGCCCCCGTATGTCACTTCCGCGACACTTCCGCCGCGGTGCCTTGTGGGTAGCCGGCCGGGGTCTCCTGGCGACGACCATGGCGGGGGATGTGGGCGGTCGCAGCTGCACGGACGCCGAGCTGCTGCTGCACCCTGAGCTGCTGTCCCAGGAGTTTCTCCTTCTCACCCTGGAGCAGGTGGGGCATTTGGGCCCGATTGAGGACCGACGGGCAGCCGGGCGGACGGGCAGGCCTGCGGGGAGGCTCGTGGCCGCTCCCCGCCCACACAGATCCGGTGGGGCTTGCCTCACTCGCAGCTCCAAAGAAACCTCGAGAGAGTGGCTGGAATCCCCGAAAAAAAAAATCCTCAGTAGCTCGGATAGGGCGTCTCGGACGACCTCCGCTGCCTCTGTGCAAGCAACGGCCTACGGAAGAGAGGGATTGGGGGAACAGACATACGGGAAAAGTCTGGTGCAGCCAGGGCTGGATCCAGAGCATCTGAAAAATAGTCTGTTACTCAGCTTTTCGCCTCCCTTAGAGACCCAGAAACTGAGTCCCAGAGAGATGGCCTTACTTCCTAGGATCACTAGCTGGACACGGTCACCCTTAGGAGAACTTAAGGCACCTGGCTTTCCCGTGGTCTGCTCCCCCCACCCAAGCTGGCGTGACCTAAGATAATAAGCAAAACATCAAAGAAAAACGTGATCAGTTTTATCCAAATTGATGAAATTTGCGCTAGGGTTTTATGTGACACACTTTGTTTTCCATGTGTTTTTTCTTCCCCTAACTACCCTATGTTTCATTAACTGCAGTTCTCCGTACATTATTTTAAAGGTGGCCTTTAACCCGTGGTTCTGAAGCTTTTAAGCACTCAAGGATTAGCGAGGACTTATAAACATATACCGACCTCCATCGTCAGTGTCTCATTAAGTAGGTTCCGGATTTGCCCAGAAAGTGCATTTTAACTAATTCTTGCTCTTGACCCAAGAGCAACACTTTTTTGTTTCTTCGAGGCAGGGTTTCTCAGTACCTTTGGAGCCTGTCCTAGAATTCGCTCTTGTAGACCAGGCTGGCCTCGAACTCACAGAGATCCGCCTGCCTCTGCCTCCCGAGTGCTGGGATTAAAGGCCTGTGCCACCCGGCTAAGGACAGCAAGTTTTAATTAAGCACTGTTGCTAGAAGCCAGCTTTTCAGTGCTTTCCAGGCAAATGTCATCCTCTGGGAATGTTGTGTAAGAATTTCAGGGTACTCCACCCCTGAGCGAATTCAAGATGAAAGTCAGCAATACACTATATAAGGGAGACATGATTTAATATTTAAAAAATGGAGTAGTCAAGCTAGTCCAGCTGGCATTGATTTTTTTTCAGTTTTGCATTCATACATTTCTCCAGCTTTTGCTAATGTGCTTTGCTTTAGTGTACTTCGTGACGGTGAGAGGAAGTTGGGGAATGTGAGAGAATGGGGTTATTTAGGCATGCGGGGTGGGATAGTGAGTTGAATGGTGAAAATGTGGGGCGTGGTGTTCTGTTACTGTCGTCAGAATGGGGAGTTCAGTTGCCTTCTGCAGGAGTAGTTTAAGCTCATTTCAAAAAGCTATGCAGGAGACTGTCATTTCAAAAACAATTCAGGAAATATCAGTGTGTCCGTGTGTGTGTGTGTGTGTGTGTGTGTGTGTGTGTGTGTGTGTGTGTTGGGGTGGGGGGTCTCCATGGTAAAGGCAGTGCTTGGCATACTTAAAGGAACTGAGTTTAGTTCCCAGCACCAATAAAACAAACAAAAAACAAAAGCAGGTACCCACCCCCCCACATTAAAAAAAAAACATGAGAAAAATAAACACAGGGTGAGGCTGAGATCCTACCCCACCAATTTGACCTTGATGATGATACTCAAAGTAGTTTATGGACAGAATTGGATAATACGCTTTCTTTTTTCTATGTTTCTCAGATAATGCCCCATTTTCATTTAGATTGAGGTGGTGGTGGCAGTAATGGCCCTGTCCTGCAAGAATTGGACGGTTATAGGCAGAAGTCCTCTACAGTGAGGGCATGTGACCACTCTAAGATGAGAATCAATTTAATATTTGTAGAGTTTAGTGGGTCTTTAATACCCTATCTAATAATACCTTATAGGACTCTTAACTGGATATAATTGTGAAAATAGTTTGATAATTTATTTTTAAGCATAATGCTTTTTACTGTGTTATGCAAATAGGTAGTTTTTTAAATAAAAGATGTTGTTTTGAGATAATTTTTGTTTCCTCTCCTACAGAAGAACATAGCTGTTGAAAATGATGTAAGAGTAAACAAAGACAACCTTACTGACCTTTACGTCCAGCATGCCATACCACTGCCTCAGAGGGAGTTGCCAAAGAATAGATGGGGGAAGATGATGGAAAAGAAAAGAGAACAACATGAAGTAAAAATTGAGACCAAAAGGTACTTTCTAGTGGTTTTAGGTTTCATGGCTTCATCTAATCCTTCATGACTGAAGGGTTTTGTTTTTGTTTTTTTTTTCCTACCAGATTAACTTAGGCAGAAAAAAAAAAAAAGACATTTATTTGGTAGCTGTTAATCGAACACCAAGTACTGTGATTGCTGTAGCCGACAATGTTGACATTCCTTCTTTCCTGCTTTCATTGAGAGAAACTCCATCAAGTTGAATATATGCTATGGAGACAGGTGAACCTTAGAGAGGTAATGGCAGTTTTGGGTAAAATGGCCAAGAACTGCTTCATTACAGAGTGACATTTCAGTAGATAGACCTGTAAGAAGTAGAGATTTGTCTCTTATTCCACTCTCTGAGAACCTGGATCTACAGAGTGCCCGCCACGTATCAGGTCTAGGTTTGGAAAGAGATGGAGATAAAACATCTACTATTAGTGAATGGTAGGGATTGTGGGTTCAAGTGAAGCTTGTGGATTTGGGGGATTTTGGCTTTCTTCTGTGATGAGAAACAGTGAGAAGGTTTTGAGGTAGTGGTAGTGGTGACCCCACTAGACAGCATTTTAACAGGATCACCCTCCCTACTGAACTAAGAAGTAATTTAACATGGACAGTTTCAAGAATGGTTTCAGAACTCAGTTGAGAACTGAGTTCAGTTCTATAACCCAGGCAATAAACGATAGTTTTGACTAAAGTAGGTGATTTGATGGACTAGGGTCTAGATGTATTTTGTAGGTAGAACCAGTAGTATTTGTTGACTTTTGAGGAAAAAGAGGAGTCAGGTAAGACTTGACTAATGTGGAAATGAAGAATCTGTTACCTAACTTTGGGCATTGTCGTTTAATTCTTAAAAGACTTAAATTTCAGAAAAATTATCATAAAACTGTAAGCAAATTATTTTTTAAAAGAAAATCACATAGTACTAATGAATGTTACTTATTACCTGGTGAGGATGGCATTCTAAAGAGTGTTTGCTCTAATATGTATTATGTATATTATGTATGTATTATGTAATATGTAATAGTATTGATCAGTTACTTGGGCTTTCTCTACTCTATGTAAGGCTCTGTCATAGGCAGTGCACTAGAGATAAGAGGGTGAGGACTGGAGAGCTGGGGAGACAAGGAGGCTGTAAGTCTAACTTAATCAGTAGTTTTGATCCCTCCTGAGTCTCTTAGCTGAGGTCATTGGGCAGTGTGAGTAGTTGGATATATGTATGCTCTCAGTCTTTGGGAAAAGGAATACGGATGTAGTCTTGCCTTTGCGCAGGAGTGATGTTAGTACAGGCTGCACATAGTGGAACTTTCACAAGCCTCTTAACTGTTAAATATACCTTTCATTTTGTTTACTTGTTTATATTCATAAACTCAAGCAGTATTATTAGCACTTGTCCTAGTAATGAGCAAAACTTTGAGTGCTGATCATACTTTCCTTCAAAGCTAAACTTCGTGTGACAGCCGCTGGGTATTGTTTGGAAAAGATTTGGCTCTATTTTAACAATTAGCGGTTTGGGGGCCGAGTTTCAGCTTAGCTGTAGAACACTTACCTAGACAGTGCACAGGGTCTGGGTGTGATACCCAGCACCATTTGACCCCTGCCCCAACCCCACTCATGCACATACCCAGAATTTTACAATTTGGCTCTGGAACCAGGGCGTTATAGTTGAAAGGATTTAGAAGTGTCCTGTTTTGTTGAACTCATTATTGTTTGTGTGGAGAAACTGAGATTCAGAGGAATGCCCTAACTTGCCCAAGGTGCCACACAGTCTATTAGTTGTGTTTCTGTTGCTGTGATAAAGCACCATGGCCAGGGCAGCTTGTGGAAGGAAGAGTTTATTTGGCTTATGACTCCAGAGGGCAGAGAGCCCATCACCATCCCAGGGAGGGCACTGTAGAAAGCTGGGTGGCAGGAACAGCTGAGGGCTCACATCTCAAACTCCACACAGGAATCAGAGCAAACTCCAAATGGTACGAGTCTTTGAGCCAGTGGTTTTCAACCCTTGGTTCTCGACCCTTGGTTCAACCCAGGTTGAAGGACCCTTACCAATAAGACCTATGGAAAACAGAGGTATTTACATCACAGTTCATAACAGTAGCAAAATTATAGTTATGAAGTAGCAATGAAAAATTTTATGGTTGGAGGTCAGCACAACATGAGGACCTGTGTTAAAGGATCACAACATTAGGAACGTTGAGAAGCACTGCTCTAGAGCCTTGTGGCTCCATAATGCCTGCCCTCCCTCAGATGATGTAACTGACCTAAGATGAAAGTGGACATGGAGGCCTCGCCCTGCCTGAATGAAGAATAAGGCTGTGTTTCACAGTATGAGCCCGCTCCCTTGGCCTATAAACACCATGCACTTAGTTTACAGCAGATTTGTAGAGTACCTGTGCTCTGTAAATAATAAATTAGCTCACTGAAGCGTCCCTACAGCCCCTGCCTTCACTTTCACCATCCCTCTCCCATCGTTCGTCCAGAGCAGTACCCAGCCCCGCAAGCTCCATTCCCTGCAAGTGCCCTGTGCTGGCTACCATTCAAATCTTCTATACCTTGTTTTTATTTTATGCGTTATGTGCTTATATGTGTTTAAATTCACAAATATAATTTCCTGCAATATTCAGTCCTGTGCTTCAGAGTACTGAGATGCACCAATTAATTAACCAGTGGTTATGATGACTCATCAAACCTCATACTTAAAGCTGTACAAATATTTTAATCACTAATTATAAAATGCTCAGACATTAGAGACACTTCATGTCTACAATAGGGTTTCTCTTTGTTGTTTGTGAGCTACCACTGTGGGAGTCTTGTTGCTGTTTTATAGTTTCTCTTTGTAAACAATAATTGATGTGATTGCATGGTCAGGATAGTGTACCAATAAGCTGCTCTTTTTTATTGTGGAGCTAATTAATATTTATTTCCCATACTTTTTTATTTGTTTGATACAACACCAAGATCAAAGCAATTTGTAGAAAGAGGGGTTTACAGTTCCAGGATGCGTCCAAGACAGGATCATGGCATCATGCTGACACAGTTGAGAGCTCACATCTTGAACTGTAGGCAGGAAATAGAGGACAAACTGGGATTGGCAGGAGTCTTTAACTCTCACACCCTCCTTCACCGAGGTACTCCTCTATAGCAAGGCCACACCTCCTAAACTTCCCAGACAGCATCACCAAAAGGAGATCAAGCATTCAATTCCCAAGACTATGAGGGGCATCTCACTCAACATTTTAGAAATGTTTTTATAAAAGATGACAGAATTTATTATAAAAAATACCTTTTTACTTTAAAGCACTAGAAAACTGTTTCTTTGGACCCTTTACCTCAGTCTGGTCAGTAAATTTTGTTGCTTATTGTTCTGATCTGCCAGCACGTGTGGTGCTTCTCAAGAGAATGTCTCTCTGCTTTCAGGAGTGGTGCTGTGGATGGATTAAGGAAAAGACCCCTCATCGTGTTCGATGGGAGCTCAACAAGCACAAGCATCAAAGTGAAAAAGACGGAGAATGGAGCAGACGAGCGCCTCAAGCCCCCTGCCCAGACAGGCTCTACCCGTGATGCCTTGCAGAAATTATCAAATTCCTCTTCGAGGGTTTCACCCCTAGTATTGTTTTCCAATTTGCCTATGAACAATAAAACGGAGCACAGTAATAATGACACTAAACAGAACCATGACTTAACACATAGGAAAAGTCCTTCCGGTCCTGTGAAGTCGCCGCCTTTGTCCCCTGTGGGAACTACTCCCATAAAATTAAAGCGAGCTGCTCCTAAGGAAGAGACAGAGACCACGGTAAGTGTGTCTTTCATATTGACCATGGCACCAAGCATCTACTCTGCAGCCCCAGATCAGCCAACTATGCTTCTTGTCTTTTGTTGGGGATGGGGTGCTAAAAACAAGCTTATTTCCTGTTTAAAGGGTTAAGATCTGAAAAGAGTTTTAGAGTTTAAAATTTGACTCCATGTCAAGCTATTGTGGAATTTTGATAGTTAAGCTGATACCTCTTTCCTTACTATGATGTTGTGAAGGATCACCCTAAGACCAGTCCCTGCAGCAGGGAAGGCTTAGTGGATCCATCCACACAGAACCCACTGAAGCCCTGAGAGAACGATCCCTCCCCTCCCCTCCCCAGCCTCTCAGTCTGCCCCAGTAGGTCCGGTGCTGCTGGTAGCAGCACAGCATGTCTCACTGGTTGAGCTGGGCTGAGGAGCAGAGGGTGGGGTCCCTATGACTCAGTGAGTGCCATTCCAGGGTGGGTGGGTGCTGCATCTCCGAGGCTCATCAATGCCTACAGGGAAGAGGGCTTGCAAATGCTTGACTCCGCAGTCCACAGTGCCCCCTCGCTGCCCTTCAGCTCTGCGGTAGTCTGTTTGGTTTGGTTTGGTTTTTTGAGGCAGGATTTCTCTGTGTGTTCCTGACTGTCCAGGAACTCACTCTGTAGACCATGCTGGCCTTGAATTCACAGAAATCCACCTGTTAAAGGTGGGCACCACCACCACCCACAGTAGTCTGGTTTTTATGTCTCGTTGCTCATATATTCGAATCCTGGAATCTAAAAATCTACAATGATTATTGTTTTTGAAAGTTTTCTGCATTTCTTTCTGTGTAAAATGAGTGCAGGAAGGCAGATTTCCTAAAAAGTTCTCTTTCTAGGGATTAAAAAGCTAAATACTCACTTGTTAGTGATGCTCAAAATGCTACTGTTTGGGGCAGCTCATTTATGCAGTAGTGTTTGGGTCTGGACCTAAATCTGTTTGTACTTACATAAAACATACCCTAGAGACTGCTCTTCCCCAAACGCCAGATTTCTTTACTTTGGAAGGATAGAGGAATTCTGAGGGGAGTCTCTCACATACAGTGTGTTCTACTACACTGAAGTGTCTGGGTGGGTGCCTGGGTTTTGTACACGAGTCGCAGGTGCATGGCTCCCAGTTAGGTGGTAGACCACGCTTTGATTACAGGGCATACATGGCACACCAGTCTGCCCCATACTTGTGTTAACCACCTGTGAGACAGGAGAATATGGGATGAAAGGCAGAAAAGTAAGCCACATCTGAAATACAGTTACTATGAGGAGTGAGCCTTTGAGGTCCACTCAACGTAAATAGACATTTATGTTGCTATGATCTCTGTATGATTGTGTATATGTACCATTTAGAAATGTAATATTTAGTCACAGTTTCTCACGAAGTTTAGACTGTGGTGTTGGTGAAGGAGGTGGGCTAGGTGGGGAGGAGGCAGGCAGGTTGCAGCAGCCAGACTTATCAGCTCTTCCTGTTAGAATCACTATAAGAGCTTCTAGAAAGCCAAGAGAGGCCTGTCCCTCTGTCTTCTGCAGTTAATGGTACTACTGTGGGATAAGGGTCAGGATGTGTGCGTGTGTGCGCGTGTGTGCGTGTGTGTGTGTGTGTGTGTGTGTGTGTGTGTGAGATACTGGTGCAGAACATTTGAGAACCAGGAATAGACAAATGGGAGCCAGATATACTTACTTTTTAATTGAGCACCATTCCCATTAGGTGGCAGCAGAGCTCTTGTAGTGACTTAGCCTTGCCTGCCCCTGGCTGAGTGTGTACCCCTCTGAGCTGTTCTGAGGCATCTGCCATTGTAAACTGGTTCTGCTCCTGTCTTCCAGAATGCCCTGAAGCCTCCAGAAACAAAGAGGAAGATACAACACGTCACGTGGCCGTGAAGGGCGCCTCTGGGAAGTCACCAGAGCTGCAGCTGCAGTTTTCAGATGAGTCCACAGTGTTTACTGAGGTCCTGATCACTGTGGGATTTTCTTGAGGTTTAAAATAGGTTTGGGAAAAATAAAAGTATTGTTCCTCCCTTCCCCCATTCCTTCTTTCCTTCCTTAAAATGTCTTGACTTTCATGTCCCAATTAGGGAAGAATTTTTTTTTTTAAATATAACTTTGTACACATCCTTTATAAATTTCTCTTCCCAAGCAAAAGCATATAAGAGTTCTCAGTATTCTGGGAAGTATTACCACCTTTTTCGTGAAGGGCTCACCTAGAAAGTGTTGATGGTGTTGCTGGAAAAGCGTTCTACTCTTGGGTTGCTTGCGCCACGTTGTCCCACAGAAGGCAGGAGGGACGTCAGGCTTGCTGTCCCTTCCCTCTCAGCGTCAGAAGCTACTCATGCAGTTTTAGAATGTTCTGTCGTGCAGGGTCTTGCCTATTCTTTTCTTGTGCATCTTGAGGTCTCGTTGTGAGTTCAGCTATTTCTTCTGAGCTTTATCTTGTTAAAATGAGACTGACTTCAAAGTCTTCAGGCTGGGTGATCAGGTGAGAGGCAGTACTTGATGGCAGAGAGCATGGGATGAGGGTGCTAGAATTCTAGACATTAGGAAGGTCCAGACCATGTGGCAGTGGTGGTGGGAGGTGGACAGTCATCCTTGTCAGGCCATTGGAATTGGAATTCACTGTAGAGTGCAGCACAGAAGTGGACTCCTAACTGAACGAGGTTCCTGGGCTATAATCTGGCTTCCTGCAGGGCTGTCCCATGCAGGGTTATTTTTGTGCAAGTAGCATTATCCACTTGTATAATAATGGCAAGTGAAAACATACTATTTGCTTTACATTCATGTCTTCTAGTATCTGTTCCCCTCTTTATATTTCTAACTAACAGCAAAGATACTTTATACCTTTTCCATGTGTAATCTTGAGATTGGATTGTTTACCTTGTTGGTAGACCTTAGGGTCATCTCCTTACTTTGATTTGTTAAAACAAGCGTTTTAGATCAGTTATTGACTAGCCTTACAAACCATAATTCAGCCTTGCAGGTATGTACTGTTCTTAGATAGCAATCCTGTAGTTTTTTAGTGTTCTGCTTTTTTCCAGACTTTGTACACATAAGACAAATTTGATGCATCTTAGTGTTGCATGAGTTGTTGATGCTACAGTAAGATTTAAATATATTGTTATCTGCAGGGCTGATTAATTAACATTGTTGATGGGAACTGTGCTCCTATATGTAACTGTGAAGGGAAATTTTAAAAGTGCAGCTTTTAGAGTAGAATGACATATTATATTTTATATTCAGTTGACCCTTCTGCTTCCACCGGCATTTCTCTCTTTGAAGAGAGAGTTAGCCATTTGACAGTTTTAAGTCAGTGGGAACTTATTTTTAGTTACTCAGTGAAATTAATTTTTAATTTGTATATTTAACTTACAGAGTAGGTTGGTAATAACAGCTGAACTGTGTAACATTGTTGCTTCAAATTGAAGTTTATACTATGAACATTCAGCATCTACGCTCACATAGCAGCATATTATTGAGCTGTTTTGAGTTTGCGAGGTGGAGAAGCATTGAACCAGGCACTGTGTATTACATACTCCCTCTGTCACAGAGCTCTGTGCCTCCTTAAGGGATCATGGAACTGGCTTCCTGCATGTGATGAAGCATGCCAAGCCCTGGGAATCTGGAGAAGCAACTATGGGAGTCTTGTTTAGAAGTGTTTCCGTGTGGGTTAGAAGGACTCAGTGTGAGTGCCGAGCTACTCTGGAATAACTTCACTTACTAACATAGGGTTTGTAGTGTTGCTTCTGATTCTGTGTCCCAATGAGGCCAGCTGTTCTGATTACTGGGTTGGACAAACAAATGGCAGTAGAGTCAGTGGGTAGCCTGTGAGGTACAAGAGGTACCACATCTGCCATCAGCAAGTCGGCCGTGTTTTCTCCCACCTGTGTATATCCTACTCTCGTTTCCATTCTCCTTTTTCTCTAGGTCTCAGCTTCAGACTTAGATTTGCAAGTTGTATTGTATCTGTGACCTTACTCCATTCACTAAGGGGTGAAGACAGTCTGACCCCAGTCCTCTTACATCTGAGGGATCATAGACCACTGTGTGGGTCCTGCAGTCTGGAGCCCTGCAGCACCAGGGCACTAAATTGCTTCCCAAAGGCTGTTACAGCAGCATAGTTTTCCAAAGTAGCCTTATTGGTCTAGACAGCTGCCAGACACTGGAAGAGCAGCTCACTCTTACCATGAGGCTGGTATTAAAATCTTCAGAATCGAAGTTTTTATTTGAAATTCTAGTTTGGTTGACTTTGAGAGACAGTTCTAAAACTGATGTAGAGACTCATTCAACAGCAATGAATCTTTTAAAAACTTACATTAAGTAAAACTGCCAGTAGATTAACTCACCCCCATGTGTTAGAGCTTCCTCTACATACTGCTGTGGAACTTGAGCCTTGTTGAGTTGCTACTAATTGGTCAACATGTTTTTAAGTGTGCTTTTACTAAATGCTTGTGTAAGTTTTGTAATTCAGTATAGAAAAGGTTGACCTTGTAATGTACGTTTTTGTATGTATAGTCTTTTAAGTAGCCCTGTCCTTATTTAAATAAACTGAATAAAATTATCTTGAGCAGAACTGTCATTTGCAAAACAAATAAAATGGAAAAATATTCATTTAAGTTGATGTGACTGAAGAAACTGCTTCAGGAAGTATCATTGTGTGTAGCATAATCTTTTCTATATTGCATTCATTGTGCTCAAACAGCCCAGCCTGATCACCTGTTGTGATCAAGAGGGCAGTTAATGATGCCATGTTTGAGACATCTTGATTGACATGAAGATGCACATTCCCAAGTATTCCTGAACAATGAGTAAATGGGACAAAGCAGAAATTTGATTGACCTGACTTAGGGCAAATGACCTGAAGTCACCAGCGAACACCCCCACCCCGGGGAGGGTGAGCACTTTTCAGAGGTGGCCTCACCACAGCCCTCTGGCTTATACCTCTTCAGGGTCAGGAGCACAGCCCTGAGCTTAAATGACTGATTCCTTAGCCAGGATCTTAATGTTACTGCATTTGAAGACTGAAGTTATAATCAAGGAACTTGGAAAATATTCTGGTAATTTGCCATTTTGAACAACAACAGCAAAAAATAACTGCAAAGACAAAACTCTCCCTTGCTTTTGGTTGATTTTTACTAGTGTGTTTTATGAACTGAAATATCTTTAATCTTTTTAGTTGCTTAATAACTTAGTTAATTTCCTTATTGTGAAATAAAACATAAAAATGTGAGTTCCTATATATTTTTAAATGCCTGATAATGTGTATCTTAGGGTTGAGTGAGGTGTGTCAGTTCCTGATTCCATGGAGAAGGTAGACCAGTGAACATGGAATGACGAGGTGTAAACCAATAATTTATTCAGTAATCTATATATAGATACAAGGAAACTTTATGCTTTGGGTTATGGCTAAGTTACTTTTCTATAGCTGTCATAAAATACCATTCCCAGGGAGCCAGTGACCTCCACCGGAGCAACCTCTACCGGAGCAGGTATGAGGGAGCGGCCTCCAAGGGAGCAGTCCTGAGCCAGCAACCTCTGTGGGACCTGGCTGAGCCAGCAACTTCCACAGGAGCAGGCCAGAGACTTCTACAGGGGCAGGCCCAAGTTAGCAACCTCTGCAGGAGCAGGCCCCGAGCCAGTGGCCTCATCAGGACCAGGCTCAGGCAAATGACCTCTGTGGGAGCAAGTCTGAGCCAGTGACTCCACAAGAGCAGGCCCAAGCCAGTGACCTTAGCCAGAACAGACCAGAGCAAGCGACCTCCACTGGAGCAGGCCCAAGCCAACCACCTCCATGGCACCAGGCCTGAGCCAATGACCTCTGCAGAAGAGGCCCAAGCCAGCAACTTCCATGGGAGCAGGTGTGAATGACCTCCAAGATTGCAGCAACCTTCAGGAATGCCAAGTGATGCCCAGGATGACTGGCTTTGTGGCCCCAACTCTACCACAAGGAGCAACCATCTCAGCCTTGGATCCACTGGCACCTGGAAGAGTGATCACCAGAGACACGGTCCCAGCTACTCCAATCAGAGGAAAAGATGGGTAGAGAAAGTAAGAGCACACTTAACACCACAAAGAACACCAACAAAAACTAGTGGCTCTAAAACAACAAGACTTGAACACCCAGTACAGATGAAACAGAAGAAAATGACCTAAAGAATAACTTTAGGAGAATTTTTGAGGCCCTTAAAGAGGAAATAAAAAATTCTCTCAAAGAAAAAATGGAAGAAGTCAAGAAATTCTTTAAAACCACGGAAATCTTACAGTACACCAAATAGACTGGACCAAAAAAAACCAAAAGAACCACCCTTGCCACATAATAATCAAAACATTAAACATACAGAATAAAGAAAGACTATTAAGAGCTGCAAAGGAAAAAGGCCAAGTGACGTATAATGACAGACCTATCAGAATTATACCTGACTTCTCAATTCAAATAATGATAGCCAGAAAGTCCTGTTCAAGCATTATGTGGGCATTAAGAGACCACAGATGCCAGCCCAGACTACTATACCCAGAAAAACTTTCAATCACTGTAGATGGACAGAACAAGATATTCCATGACAGAATCAGATTTAACCAATATCTAGCCACAAACCCAGCCCTACACAAAGTATTAGAAGGCAAACTCCAACCCAAGGAAGTTTGCTACACTCACAAAAACACAGTAGACGATCTCACAGCAGCAAATCCCAAAGATGGGAAACACACACAGTAACATCACCAACAAGGAAACTAAAATAACAGAATCTAGCAATCAGTGGTCATTACTATTCCATAATATAAATGGACTCCACTCACCTATAAAAAAAGCATAGGCTAACAGATTGGATACAAAAACAGAATCCATCCTTCTGCTGCTTATAAGAAACACACTTCAACTTCAAAGACAGACATTGCCTGGGATGTAAAGTGTTGGGAAAATGGACCTAAGAAACAAGCTGGTGTAGCTATCCTACTATCTAACAAACTAGACTTCAAACTAAAATCAATCAAAAGAGACATAGAAGGACATTTCATATTTGTCCCAGGTAAAAATCCATCAAGAGGAAATCTCAATACTGAATATCTATGCCCCAAATACAAGGACACCCTCATATGTTAAAAAAAAAAATACTATTAAAGCTTAAATCACGCATTAGACCCCACACTAATAATGGAAGACGTTAACACCCCACACTCAGCACTGGACAGGTCTACCAAACAGAAACTTAACAAGAGAAATAAGGGAACTAACAGATATTGTGAATCAAATGTAAAAGAAAAAATTAAAGATGTTGTAAAATGTAATGAAAATGACCACACAACATAACCAAATTTATGGGACACAAATGAAAACTGTTAAGATGCTGCGGGAGTATCTTCCGCTGCTTCAGCCAATAGTTGCTGAAGCAGCAAGCCCACGGTGCTGTGGGAGCGCCTTCCAGCCTTCCACTCCGTCAGCCAATAGCCGCTGAAATACCAGCCCACTGGGGCGTGGTATATTTCTCTTTTAAAAAGAGCCACAGAGCTCGGTTCCAGCGCTTGGTCCCAGCTCCTGCTCCCAGCTCCTGCTCCAGCGACTAGGTTCCCTTCCTGACGGTTTATGGTGTATGTAAGTTTTACCCCCCAAAATAAATAACCCCTTAAAACATAACTGGTGTGGGATTGATTCACCGTTATTTGGCGCCCAGCGTTTGGTTTAAGAACCACCCCACCCCCTCCCACCCCCAGCTCGGCCTCTGGCTTGGCTACCTGCCACCAGCTCGGCTTGGCCAGCTCGGCTTGGCACAAGCCCTCCCTCAGCCATAACCTCCACGCCTCCCAGGATACACAGGTCCGGACAGTCTCTGCCGGCCTACTTTGCCCTGTTCTGCATGGATTTTTAAATTTTTCCTTGCAACGTGAGTCAAAGAGCTCACAGCGGAAGCTCCCTTTGAAGTTCCAGCAAACTGTTTGAAACCCCTGCCATCCGCCATGACTGATTGGGAGTGCTGCAAGCAGCTTGACCCTTAATCCCAGCACAGGGACACAGGGCCCAAAACACTAGGCCTCTTTAGCAACAGCGCAGTGGCTGTGTCACGACCCTCTGCATCAGGTTGAACAGAGCGGCAGGGCAGGAGAGCCCGGCCGGGGTAGGCCAGGCTGCCTTGTTTATTGGCCACTAGAAGCTCTTTGACCTTTTGTGATCTGTGAATTTAACCTCTGGATTTGAGTGTATATATTCTAGAGTTTACTTCCTGAATCAACGCCATTGCCACGTGGATTCAGGTGCGCCCCACCTCCTACTGGCAGGCAACGGTCATTACAGGTAAGATTTTTCTTTTCAGTTGAAAATACATACATTCATTCATACATACATACATACATACATACAAGTACAATTTCTTTTGATTGAAAATGTCAGAAAATATTACTATCCAAAAGTTCAATGGTTTTTTTAATTGCGCTATGGAGGATATTCTGAAGGATGTCTCTGATATTCCTCTTACTTTGTTATTCCTGGGATCTGTTGCTTTTCTGGTGTTTGGCTATTTTATAAGAAAGATACAGTCCTTACAGACTGAATCTACAGTGCTGAGGGCAGAGATTAAAATCTTAAGAACAATTCAGACTGATACCAACCTCCTCAAAAAAGAGTTTGGAGATTTCAAGGAGGAAACTAGATCAGAGTTTGGAGTTTTCAAGCAGGAGACTAGATCAGAGTTTGGAGTTTTCAAGCAGGAGACTAGATCAGAGTTTGGAGTTCTCAAGGAGGAGACTAGATCTTTGTCTGATATGACTCGGTCGACTGACCAAAATATCAAGAAGGTACAGTCTGATATTGCTTCTTTAGAAGGGAGCTTCACTGCTCTGGAGGAGGGGACAACCAAAATGACTCGTAACCTCCAGTCCATGACTGTAAGTGCTGAAACATTAGCTGAGAGGATTATAATCATTGAATGTGAAAATCGGACTTTATCAAAAGGGTATGATAGATTAATTGACAGGATTTCCATACAAGAAGGCACAGTACATGCCATGAGGATTATGTCCAAGGAGGATATGATATCTCTAACTGACAAGCTCCACGCCTTAGAATTATCAATGAAGGCAATTGTGTCCAAGGAGGAAATGGTGTCTCTGACGGACAAGCTCCATGCCTTAGAATTGTTAATGAAGGCTTTGGAGCATAATACTGGACAGGAGATTCAGGACTTACAGAAGGCAGTGGTGAGCAGATTTACTAAGATTGAGGAAATCATAGACTCTGATGAACAGGAGCAAAAGGTAGAAAGGCAACATTCACCTCAAAAAACTCTCAGTCTACATAGAGTTATACCTGCCTTTCCAGTAATAACATCAGAAAAGATAACCGGCTCCAAAAACCCTAAGGTCATTAAAGAACATACATGGGAGCCTATACGTATGAATGATCTGAAAGAATTTAAACAAGCAATTGTGAATTATGGACTACATTCATCCTTTGTTAGGGAGATGTTAAAATCCTGGGCTCTGAGCAGCAGGGCCACCTCTCAAGATTGGAACCAGCTCACATCAGCTGTCCTAGAGAACGGACCTTTATGGCATTTCAAATGCCTATTC